TGTACAAATAGCTTGTCTCTTGCTTCTTAAATTCTCTTTCCTCTCATTCTTATGTTTGTTTTGAAAACTGTCACCAACTCACCGGCGAGCAGAAATCGCGTCACCAACTTCATCTTTTCTCTTCGACAGTGGATCCTTCAACAGTGACCAGTGAGGTAAGAGGAACTTAGCTTCACCATCACCCTCAACCAAACAAGAAGTTAATGATTCTTCTTGAAAACCCATGGGTTCCCTAAGAAAACCCAAATCTAGATTCTTCTTGAGATCCCACAGGTTCTCTTAGAGAACCTAAATTTGGGTTCTCCTTCAATAGATCAAGGAGGGTGGAAGAGAAGGAAGAAGAGGAGAGAAGAGGCAAAGAAGAAGAAAAAGAAAGGAGGAGGGAAAAGAACGAAGATGGTTGAAAATCAAAGAACCAATACTACGTGAAGAGGAGGGTTGCCCAGATCTACTTGGTGGAGAACTCACGAGAGGAGATGTGGGAGGAGACGAGCGGAGAAATGGCGACGGAGGAAGAGAGAGAAAGTGAGGAGATAAGAAAAATGAATGGAATGTAAAAAAATTTAAAGGTAAAAAAATTTAAAGGTTGGGATTGCATTCAATAGGCTTATTATGAATAAGCAAGGATAAGTCTTTAACAAAGAAAATTATTGTATTTTAATCTTTAAACCATGGATGTGTGAGAGACGGTGCTAGTTTGCTGGGTAAGTATATCACTTCCCTTAGTTTATTGTTCTGTTATATTTAGAGACTTTTTTAAATTTTTTTAAAAAAATTTTAAAGTAACAAGTTAAAATTTATTAATTGTAATATTTATATAAATTTTAAATAAAATATAATATAATATATAAAAATATAATATAATATCATATTTATATTCAAAATACATAAAAATTCATGTATTCAATATGAAAATTTATATAAAATTAATTAAGAGATCCTTAATAATGAGTCTTAACTTGTGAATTTAGGAGACATGATAAACAAATCCTTTTGAAATAGTGATATTATATCTAAGAACTTCTTTCTCTCTTTTTCTTCTATTATTTCTTTTAATTCTTCTAACAACTTCTCTAATTAAATGAGTTGGAACTAAATCAAGTTAACACTAAGTACTCAAGTTTGAGCCCAATTCATATTAATCACGTTAGAGCTGAGCTCATGCTTGCTGCATCTTTGGAAGAATCATTAGAGTTAAGTTCAAACTCAAAATCAAGTTCAAAATTTCTCAAGCAAGCTAAAACAGAAAATGAGAATTTGTTTTATTTTCTATTTTATATTTTATAGTATGTTTGAGAGGAGGACACGGGAGGGGAGGGGAGAGATCTTTAACAAATAAAAAAATCTTTTGTTCTCCTTAAACCAAATATATTATTAATGAACTCTAAATTTGAGTTGAAGCTTGAACTTATAATACCCATTTCTTTAAAACCCTAATTTTTAAGATAAAGTCAATATTTAATCACCTCAAAGAAGATAAAAAATCAAGCTTTTAAATGTATGGGTTTTCTATTTTGTGCTTTAATAATTACTTTATAATTATCTCAAAAATATTAAAATATAAAATTTGAATTTAATTTAAATAATAAATGTTATGTGTCTATGTTTACATTTTTTTTAGTATATCAAATAATGAACTATACAATAAAGATAACCATCTTTTTCTCTTAATCCCTCCGCACAGCTCTCAAAAGTAGAACTTGCTAACTTAAATTTAGAATTCCAAACATTTTACCACTTAAAACACCTCATTGGGGACATGTGTCTGTAATTATTATTTATTAGTTATTATTATCCCTCATCTTGTAGAAA